CTTTTCCAGCAACTTCTGTTTTTGTGTCAGAGATGGAATTATGAGGTTAATCAATGTTAAAATGGAATTTATCTCCTTTCGAAATATCTTCTCATCCTAATTTGTTAACTTGCTTGAAGGATCAAGTTGTTCCACCTTGCAAAGATTTATAGGGGCCTCTTGATGAAGTGATTTGCTGACCTGTTAGAAGACAGGCAGGAGTACTTCTCTCACTACTCAAGCTACAGACAGCCATCACTGTAGAGTGCCCCCATTGGCAAGCTGTTGGGCTCTGATATTGTTAGAGTCGACACTGTCATTGGTTTTATGAGTTGAAGCCACTTTTTCTGGCGGTGCTCACTACCTGCAAAGACAAGATCATTATTTTGAAAAAAAGAAAATAAAGACTTGCATTACATTATAGAAACAGAAGTTACTGCTATTCAGTCTACCATTTCTGTAGTAGCTCTCTGCAACAGCAACTCTGCTAATCCCACTCACTTTTCATCATAGCCCTGCATTTTGTTTCGTATTCAGATAATTGTACATCATTTCATATTGAAAGCCATGGTTTAATCTGTCCTGCCACATTCTCAGGAAGTGCATTCCTGATCCTAACTACTCCTCACATTTAAAAAAAAGGCCTTTCTTCAAGTCACATCTGGTTCTTTTGCCAATCATCTTAAATTTGTGACCTCTGGCTCTGGGCCCTTACACCAAAGAAAATGTTTTGATTTTTTTTAACATCTACTCCATAAAATCCCACTATGAATTTGAACATCTCCATCAAATCTTCTCTAATTCTTCTCTCTCCAAGGAAACTAGTTCCACTTTCATCAGTTATCCACTGAAATCTCTCATCCCTGCAACCATTCTTGTAAATCTTTACTGCACCGTACTAATTATTTCACATGCTTCCTAAAATGCAGTGTCCAGAACTGGATACAATTCTCCAGTTGAAGCCAAGCCAGTCCACAGGTTTGCCATAACATATTTGCTATTTTACTCCATACTACTTTATGTAAAATCCAAAACGCATTATTAACTGCTTTCTCAACCTGCCTTACCACTTTCAACCATTTGTTCACATACAATACCCATTCCTCTGCCCTCACCCCATGTATCTCTTATTCTGTATTGTTTCCTCTTATTCCTAACACTAAAACACATCACTGCGTTTGATTTCACCTGGGTACAAATCCTGCCATAGTCTTTGGGAAGATCCCACCTTGCTTCTTACTTTATGACAATAATGCCTTGCATTAGTGATATGATAATATGCTCCAAAATGATTTACTTCGCACAAATGAAATATTTGTTTAATTTGAAAACTGCACAGTATTCCCCCTTTATATATCCTGCCTGTTCTTATTTAAATTCTAATGGAAGCTTTACTAAGTGGTTTGATAAAGTATTATGCCACTACAGGCAGTGCCTTGTAATATTTTTGTTTTGAAAAATGGTGATTATTTGTGTTGTGCCATTATGCCATTCTTTCTCCTGGCACTTATTTTTACTGTAATTTAAAATGAAAAACTCAACATGCAGAATGAAGGCACAATGCACTGCTATATAAACTGACCTTAGTAGTTAATATATCACAGTCACATTAGGATATTCATTGTCTTGAATATTATATACCTCAGACATCCATTATTTGGCAATAATTTCTCTTTATTGTTGCTGTACTTATAATGGTTAAAATGATGGGCATCAAAAATTTGATCAGCATCAGCCATATGAATATTGTGGCTATAAGAGGAAGTCAGAAACCTTGCATTCTTCAATGAATGACTTGCCCCTTGACTCTCCAAATCATGTCCACCATCTACAAGGCAAAAGCCAGGAATGTGATGGAATATTCTCCAAGTGCCTTCATGAGTACAACTCCAATAAAACTCAAGAAGCTCAACACCATCCAGGACAAAGCAGATCATTTGATGGAATTCCGTCCAAACTCCTTCAATATTCACTTCCTCCTCCATCAGTGCACAGTGGCAGAAACATGCAGATTTGCAGTATGAACTGGCAAGGTTTCTTCAATACTACCTTCCAAACTCCCAATCACAACTACCTAGAAGGACAAGAGCACCTGCAAGATTTCTGCCAAGTCACATGTCACCCTGACTTGGAAATATATCACTGTTCTTTTATTGAAGCTGGGTCAATGTTGTGGCCAGTGTCAACGTCTGGAAATGTTATGAATTTTTACTGAAGGCTGAAACTTTGAAAGTGCCACCAATATTAATCCAGAGACTCAGTTAACGTTCTGGGGAACTGGGTTCAAATTCTGCCATAGCAGATGGTAGAATTTGAATTCAATAAACATCTGGAATTAAGAGTTTAATGTTGATTGTTGGAAAAACCCATCTTGTTCATGAACGCCCTTTAGGGAAGGTAAATGACATCCTTGCCTGGATTGGCCTATATGTGACTCCAGACCCACAGCAATGTGTTTGACTCTTAACTATCCTTTGGGCAGTTAGGGAGGGAGGGCAAAAAAATGCTGGCCCAGCCAATGATGTCCAATTGACATGAATGAATTTAAAAAATACCACGGATTGCTTGCAAGTTTAAACTATCAAGTATTTGTTACTCGTGGAATATTTATAAAAAACATACTATATCCATCAGTCTGGTCCCAAAATAACAGGCAACAGAAGTAATACCACAAAAAAAATTAATTTTGAAGGCCTCAAAAATCCATTCTGGCTTGCCCTTCTCAATCAGTCAGCACCTCACTGTCAACCTGTCATGCTCCTGCCACCAGGAGCCACAGTGAGCCTAAAGTTTACCAAAACAAAAATCTCCAAAGATTTCTCTCAACAAGGAAACATCATGGCCTGTTCGCTGAAAGTAACCAAGAGATACAGTACCTAAACAAGAGTTGTTACTAAGCTTTCATTGACTGGAAATGCCACTACTGGTCAAGAGAGCAACAACAGTACTACTAGCAGTTGAAGACAGCGTTACTGAGTAAAATGCATGACAAAGAACAAAGAGTAGAAAGTGTGTAGAAAGAGTATAGAAGATCCAACAACTTGAGGCTACCGATGATACATATGGTTTCTTCAGCACAGTCAAAATGATTATGGCCCAATCCCTCAAGGACCCACCCCACTCAGAGACAAGCATGAAAGGGAGTTCAACAAGGACAGCGATGCAATCAGCAGTGACTGGAGAGAACATTTTGAAGAGCTCCTCAGCCAAGACTCTGCCTTCGACTCAAACATCATTAACACCATTTCTCAAAACTCAGTCTGGTTCGGTCTTGACATTCCCTTAATCTAGGACAAAGTTGATAAAGCCGTTTGACAGCTGAAAAACAGCAAAGCCTATGAAACACAGCAGAGCTATACTTGTGGCTCAGCTGAATAACCTCCTATCCCTCATCTGGAAAGAACAGCACATGCCAAAGAGTCTTGGGGGCACTGTGATTGACAGTGTTCAAGCTCAGGGAGACCAGTCTGATTGCTGTACCTTTAGTGGAGTCACTCTGCTGTCTTCCACAGGGAAGATCATTTCGGAGATACTCCATTACCTTCTCCTTCCAGTAGTGGTGGAACTACTGGAATAGGTGTAGTTGAGAGTCGCAGTATAGTTTTCGTCCAAATACTCATCCCTTCAAACGGCACCTGCCTTATATGTGACAAAGTCTGCTGAGGACACTTATATTTACTTATCAACCTTCTTAATCCCAATCAAATTGGAGTGGAAACAAGATATCCTCAATCCTTAAGGATAGCCTTAGAAGAATAAGAGATCACTTCAGGTATATTTGTAATAATAAATGCCAGTGTAGTGTTAAAAATTAATACAAAATGTGTTGATATAGTACAGTAACTTTGTTAGACAGAAGTTGAATATCCAATATCTTAATCAGACATGAAAAACTGGACAAATTATGTTTGAGAAAGGAATGTTTGTTTTTTTTCTCTGACTGTTGAATTAATGATTAGAATGCAAATCTATTTTATTCTAATTTAAAATCAACGTTGTCAGAAATCATTCAATCATGAAGTTTAACGAAAACAATCAAGTATAAATGTTGTTCTTTTGTTCAGAGAACTCCATGAGGGGATTAATTAACTACAAGCAGCTCCTTCACTGGACAGTTTGCTTACTTGTTGTGATTGATATTATTGACATGGTACAATATTATATTTAATCAATAATCCAAACGAATACATTAAAGCATTAGAGGAGAACGAATCTCTTGCATCTCTCCCAACTCTCTCCCCTACCTAATGGTTGCAATGACTGAATGAATGGAGTGATAGCTTTTCACATTTGTTCCTTGTCTGATGTTTGGTTTAAGAACAGAATATTTTAGAAATACTCAGCATGGCATTCAAAGCCTGATAGAATCAAAGTTAACTTTTCAAGTTGATGTCTATCTCCACATGTCTTATCTACTGTGTATTTCAAAATGTTTTCTGCTTTTATTTCAAATTTCCCACATCTGAAGCACTTTGTCTTTTTTCCAACGTTTGATTGTTCGGTCACTGTTTTTTACTGTAACATTGCATCAACTCTTACTATATTTGTTCTTTGCTTGCAGTGCATGAAATATGCTTGAGGGGATAATGGGTGGAGATAATGGGTACGATATGAGCTGTGTGGCCATGGTAAGATTTGTGGTAGAATCGAATAAATTGGCCAAGTCAATCTCAACATCAAGAGCATCACACTCTATCTTTTATGCTTCTAACAAATGGCATGGTGAGTTTCTCAAAAGGCAGCAACGAGCTGCCAATTAACATAAATCATTGCTTGTTAAGTGCCTTGTTAATGACACAATTCGCCTCATTAATGTTTAGCTTCCTACCTTACCTATTGCGCGAAACCAGCTGGACAAAGAGAAAACTGGACCTGGAAATCAGAGCAGATACCTGGTGAATTCAATACGCTGCTTTCTACAAAGGACTTCCATAGTAAACATCAGAGAGACATAGAGATCTACAGCACAGAGAAAGGCCCTTCAGCCCATCAAGTCTGTACTAGTCAAAAACAATGACCTAACTATTCCAATCCCATTTTCCAGCACTTAGCTCCTAGTCTGTTATTACTTGACAGTGCAAGTGTACATCTAAATAATTCTGCTTAAATGTTGTGGTTATGTGGGTTTTATGCCTCTACTGCCCTTGTCAGCTAACAGTTCCAGATTCCCAATACCTTGAGTGAAGACATGTTGCCTTGTGTTCTCTCAAACCTCATATGCCTTACCTTAAATCTATACCCCCAGGTCATTGATCCCTCCACCAAGGGGAAAGTTCCTTCCTTTCTACCCTGTCTCTGCCCTCATTATTTTACAGATCTCAATCATGATCCCCCTCAGTCTCCTCTGCTCCAAGGAAACCAAAC